AGATGACTGATATTTAAGTGTGCATGAGTATACCACTTGAAGATAACCCAGAAGCAGGGTTGAGACATGCAATGGCTAAGAATAAGAACACTAATAACACTAGGTAATTTTGTTGATGGTGTTGTAAAAATTATAGGTAAAAGCCCTACTTTTTTTTATCCAAGGCACCTTCTGTGTTATTCATAAAGGTATGAGTTGTGGATCAAATGCATTCATTTCCACAGAAATCTCTCCCTTGATGTAGGCCTCTAGGGTCTATGAACATGATATGGTCACCCCAATATTTACACTTATCAACACATGCAGGTATCACAGTCGTATTTTCCCATCCCCTATTGTTTCTTCGCACTGAACCAGAGCCTGCAGACTGAATTGCGCTTTTGAATCTATTAGATTGATACTTGTGTTTCAGAACATAGGTTTGATTACTACATACAAATTTTATTCTCTGTATCTATTCTCATGCACCTAATTCACTTTGTAAGTAAAATCTTCATTCAGCATGAAGGTGCACAGGAAACATTTTTCGGTAATGAAACAGTGTACGCTATAAGATCAAATACTTCATCCTGCCAAATTTTCAATCTAGTGGTAATCAGATGCTTCTTAACTGGAGATGAAGCAAAGTTAGTTAGTTAGTTATTGGAGAGCATGGGTTTCCCCATGCACTGAGACCTGTATTGGTCCATTGTGCTTCCCTCTACGATTTCTACCAGTCTCTATATCCTACCGGTACTGGTGCTTACAATCAGTCCCGCGCAGCCAGTGAGACCGGCTCTACTAGCTGAGAGGTATCTATAATGCTTCCCCCATCTACCAGAGGTATTAGAGACTGCTGTTGGGCGGGAAACGTCCGTTAATTTGGCTCAGTGACCTCCTTTGGAGATATGAGGTTCTTTTACGTGCCGTAAAGCTACGACACGGGACCCACGGCTTAAAGTCCCTCCCGGAGGACTTGTTCCCTGAATTTTTCCGCCATTAAAAATTCGACGACCTCCGCCGGGTATTTGAACCCGCGTACTACGAGTCATGAGGTGGGAACGTTACCCCTATACTACGGAGGCCGCTTTGAAGCAAAGTTAAATTTAGTGCCAAGGAAATTTGCATTTCTGATGGCAATTCCAAAAAATCAACAGCATTTTCCTTGTTGATATTTTCTGTGTATACTAAAGGTATGATCTATGCTAATGTAAGGTTACTTTAAAGTAAACTCTACAGAACACACTGTTTCATTTTACTTGACATAGACCATCACTGTGGTAACCGTGATATGAGAATATGTAGAATTTTATTTCAAGGGACGGGCTTGTTGCACCTGTAACCCTCATGTTTATCGTGAAAAAATATATTGAAGTTCCTTCCTTGGAAAGATTAATTGCATTATAACATTTAAAAATGTTATAGTTCAGTCAAACATTTTCTTTTACATTTAAAATCTGAAATAGTTGGTCACTGTGAAGCCTTTACTAAGTAAACATCTAATATTTTGGATAGGTACTGATGACAGGCATTCCTATGACAGAGATGGCAAGACACTTGGACACAGTGGTTATGCAGTTATACAACTATTTGTTTGTATAGTAGTGATTTTGACATTAACGTGGATACTTTCAGTTCAGAGATCGAAATTTGATTCAAAATTAGCTAGCCTTGTTCATGGCGATTATTGTGTATTTTCTTTGTTCGTCCAGTGACCATATGACATTGCATTGTCCGGTCCACTATGTGCATCAGTATTGCATGTTCCCTTAAGCGGTCACATACAAGCAAATATAACACTTGGCAGAAGGTAAAATGTCATAGTTGATGGTTCAAACAGGTCCTGTCACCCTCATTTCTTCAAGTTCACCCTCACATGCATTTCATGCAATATAACAACAAAATTCAGTTTTTTCTTGGATTCCTAGAAATTTGTTCCAATTTTGCCTTAAGCGCAGCGCGTTTAATGCTCAGAACGTCATGAGAATGACTTCAAAGTCAAATGCCGTCTTTACATATTTACAACAGTAGTTTTGAGTTTAAAATGTATATGCTTCAGCGGAAACTGTGACCACGAAATATTTGGCACAAGTCAGTTGATTCATATCGTTCTGTAACTTTTATTAGACAGTTTACCAAGAAAAGTACGTGAAAAGTGCCAATGCTCCTTTTAACTTTGAGTTTTGGGTCTTTACTTTCAAGCGCTAGTGGTGTTTTATAGCGAGGGTGAGGTATCGGCACGTAGCAATATATTCCGTTTCTGGCTGCCACAGGATGTTAAGATATTTCCATAAACTTATGAATGAGGGACATAAGAATTTTAAATTAACAGTGTAGTTCCGGTGACATATTTGTTTACACTCTACATAAATGCAAGATCATCATTATGCCGAGTATCCATAAAGTAAAGTAAAGCTGACCCTGCAACAGACCGCGAAGGCCCATAGGGTTGTGAGACGTCGAGATTCCCACATTTTCTCTGGACTGTCGACTCACAGATGGCGGTAAGGTTGTCAGTCTTACGCACCGGCCGCCGTTTACTCCCCACCCCCAGGAAAATTCCTGGTACTCATTTCTGTTAAGAGGGTGAGTCGACCCCAGGGCCATAGTGCGGCTGGAAGATTTAGATTTAAAAAATCCACCTCATCGGGACTCGAACCCGCGACCTTCTGGATTTCAGCATAGTGCCTCAACCAACTACGTTACAGCACGGCCCATCCATAAAGTCCCTATTTAATTTATTAAAATAATATATTTTATCTTTCTTTACATCCTACTATTCACAATCTGTGTAAACGTGAGAGCAGTATCACTTTATATCCAATGGAAGAAGTGCAAGAAAGAAATCTGGTGAAAAGTTTCGAACCCTTATCATTTGATAAATCAATATGTGCTTCGCACAATAACAAAATTCACAGCAGTCTTCGGACAGTCTTTGAGACTGTCTGCCAGTGGCTTTACTCTGTTTAGTAAGTGCCTTCAGATATATGGTAGTTTTCAGTACCTTAACTATTATCCAAGTAATTGTGAGATGACTGAAAGCCGTTGACAGGCAACGGTCGGCAAGCGAGGCGGCCGATAAACAACGTCTATGATGCAGTGTTTTCTACGTCTTCACTAGCTGTCTCCTGGTAACAGATCCCAAGGCAGTGTCAACCATGACGGCCCGGGTTCGGCCAAGGTCAGGTCATGTGAGATTTGTGGTGGACAAAGTGACTCTGGGGCAGGTTTTCTCCGCGTATTTCGGTTTCCCCTACCAATTCTCATTCCATCGACTGCTCCACACTCATCATCCATCATCCGGAGCTGGCACAATAGGCCAGTTAGTGGCCGACGTACCAAGTGGACACAGTCTCACCCCACCTCAAGAAAAAAAAAACGTATCCAAACAATGTCCTCTGCTTACGTCCCTAACGGCCGGCGACTGTCTCACAGCTAACTAACTCAACTGTAACTCAGATCTTGAAGTCGTTATTGTCCATTCATTGGTTGTCTCTGGCTCTCTCTGTCTGAATCTGAGTTACTTTACTGCTGGAGGTTTACAGCCAATCAGTCTGTCTCGGCGCCCAGTCTCTTAAGTTTCGTGACCTGAGTTTGTTTTTTCTTTTCCTTTTGAAACTGAATCCTTACGGTCGTCCTTATGTAACATCCTCTCCGACAAGAATGAGATGGTTTTGTCTTATGAATAGGTTTGACCTTTATCGAGTGTCCATGCTGCACATATAGCATAATATTGAAATAGTTTTCTCTTACAGGTCTTCTGTTATTCAGACTTTCCTATCTCAGTTCGCTGATGCTGCAACGGCGGCAGAGTCACTTGAACTGTCGTAAAGTATAAGCCTCATATTTTCTACGTCCGGTTTCACCTTATCCTATGCTACGAACATGATCATTCTCATGATGTGTGACTTCTGCTTCTTTCCTGCACAATTTTATTATATAATCACATACATATAGAAGGTTGAAAGCCATGTGCAAATTGCAGACCGGTGTGCGGCTTGGAAAATTTCTAATGGTACGCAGAAGCTTGTTTTGCAGTCGCTGCAATTTCAAAAGTTCGGTGTATACCGCAAATTCCCAGGCGGGGCAAGCATAAGTCATTACTGATCTAATCAATGCTTTATGGACTGTTAGTTTAATGTTAGTGCTTAAACGCTCACGTTTCAGGAAGGAATAGACTCTAATAATGTTCTGAAAGACCTTGGCTTTTATCATTTCTATGTGAAATCTCCATGGAATTCTTTTATAAGTGATTACACCGAGATGTTTTACTTGATTTATAAAGGGAATGTTCCGTCCCTTCAAATTAAAATGAACCCTAACCGCTGTACATATGACAGAAATGCAAGGCCTGTCTTATATAAATTAATTTTTATGTTCTAGCGCTCACACCACGATTCCACTGAATTGAGACCTCGCTGCAGCTTTCTTAGAACATAGCACCCTGGCGGTCCGTCGTGTACATGAAAATGCCATCGGCAGAGGGATAGATAAACACCTTGGCTGCTTGTATTGCTTTCTGCGTACACATTTTTCGTTCGTCCGACATTTTTAATTTTCTTACGGAAAGAAATTTGCTAATAAGTTTAATTATATTAGAGTCTGAAGGGTTCTGACGATGGTGTATAACACTCAGAATCACTGGGGTTTCTTATTTTGTCCATCGTCCGGTATTCTGGAAACTAGAAAACACAAAGTTTCAGAAACTGGGTCTGTTTCCATCCTCAGGTGAGGGTGGAAGACACCTACTCATTTTGGTCTCTTAGAAAGAGCTAACCTCAATCACTGGACAACCCCTGTCAGATTCACTAAAGCTATTTAATCACGTGAGACCAGGCTGATTCGGCGGGAGATAACAAGAAAATATGCAATAAATTGTGGTAGAGCACGCACATGCGTGGAACTAGGATGATTTCTGCCTCGTAGTGAATCTGACAAGGGTTGTCCAGTGATTGAGGTTAGTTCTTTCTAAGGGACACAATTGAATAATGTCTTCCCCCTCCCTCACCTGAGGACGGAAACAAATCCAGTTTCCGAAATGTTGTGTCTCCTGATTTCTAGAATACCGAACGATGGACAAAGTCCAAAACCTCAGTGATTTTGAGTGTTAATTATATTAGTCGAAGAATTTGATTTAAGTAACTAGTACAAAAAACAGGTTGCCATGTTGTATCAACGGCTTTTTCAACATCCAAGAATAGCTCAGCCGTATACATGCTTTTGGCGAAATTTAATGTCACGTGGTTCGTAAGGTTCATACATTGAAGTGTTGTGCTGTGGCGGGCAGGGAAACCAAACTGACTTGCACTAAGCAGGTCTCCCACCTGGATGTCCCTTTTGACTATTTTTTACAATTATATTCACAAAAAGTTGGCCTATAGTGGACTGGAGGTATATCGGACGTACATTTTGAGAACATTTGGGGTTCTTACCGGGTTTTGGTAACATTATGTCTTTCGTTCCCTTCCAGGGCTTTGGAAAATGCGATAGCTGACGACAGTGATGAAAGTGATTAAATGAATGTGTCAGATCCTTCCTTTTGCACCATATTCAATTCTTTGTCAGTACAGGCATTGCAAAGCAGATCATGCCTATTTACGGGTTGTCTGGCTGGCTCGCCTAATTATATAGCCTGGGCACGGACTGTACAGAGAACACCACGTCATAGTCCTTATTTACCGGCCGTTGCCTAGCAACGGCCATCTCTTGCAATGATCATGTCACAATAGTGTATATATTTCCATTGCTGGATCGTTTGAAGTTTGCATGGTTATTGTGCTAGTTACACAATCAGAATTACTGGGGTTTTGGTCTCTGCTACACAGTGATCATTCTCAGGTACTGCCTTCTCTTATGAATTGGAAATTAGCTTATTCCACAGAATATGACTCAAACTTCAGGCTGAGGAAGCCCGTGCTGTGTAATATTTATGATTTTAAATAAAAATTGATATATGCTTGAAGTTAAATTTTTAAAGCTGCAAAATAACTCACTGGCTTTCATGATCTAATTGAGGACTAATTTGATAAATCTGTAGATTAACTGTTCCTTTATTTACCAATATAGTGTTCTAAATATCAGTAAAATTTGAAATTTTTATACTGTCATTCAATGTACTCCGTCTTGTGTATTCGGTTTTGTTCCGGTTTCAGGGAACTTTATGGCTGAGAATGACAATAATCGCTAGAAGTGGCAACAGACAGCGACAGTATCACCCAAATGCACAGGTTAAAAAAAGGCATGCAAGTTTCGTATCTGTGCTCTCAGTGTGCCACGTGACTTCCAGGCCAGAGCAGTCCTGACAAATAATACTATATGTAAAATATTCAGTTTAATAGTGGCATATCAGATGGTCCACACATGGACCTTCTCAGCCACTACACACCAGTTTGCATGGTCGTAGTAGGACGAGATAATGTGCAAATTCTCCACATATCGCTCTATCAACTGGTCAAGCTCTCCTTCCCGGAACACGTGATAGTAGCGGTGGAATGTGATGGCTCCGCCGCCATTATCAGACGGCAGAGATTCCTGGGAAGTTGAGCCACTGAGGGACGACGCGCAGCTCTCCGTTTTCGTCAGTACGTCTGGCGGTTCCTGTGTGACCGCCTTCAGCGTGTTGCTCCGCGGTGGAACTTCTTCGGAAGACGACCTGCCGTCGCAGCACGGTGTCTGTCTGTCCGCGTTATGGGTGTCACGGCTGAAATCGCTGCCGCTTCCTGTGACGGCGTCACTTAATTCTACGGACACAGTGCTTACTGTTTTATCGGCAGAGTTAGTGTCGCGCCGGCTACAGTCGCTGCCGCTGGTGCCCGTCTGTTCGGGTATTTCCCCTGTATCATTGGACTCCACAGAGCAGCCAAGGCGCAAGGAGATGACACTGACAGCGTCGTTTCTCAGCAGGTGACTTGGTTCTGAGTCGCAAGGCTCAGAAGCTGCAGGAAGAGCAATGGGAACGCTTTCGTCATTTGTTTCGTGGCATGTATCCTGAGGTATCTGCTCTTGGAGTTCGCCATCGACCCCCTTACACAGTACTTCGGCACAAATGTCTACATCTTCCGCGACGTCGTCACTTGTCTGCCTGGAACCCGAGTTGCACACGAGCATCACGTCACTCGCGTTGGAGAGGTCCTCTTCCGACTCATTGCTAACAGCCGGATTGGCTTCGGGTTGTGTCTTCTTGGTCTGTTTGCAGAAGTCAAGGACCACAGTGTTCGATTTTATTTCCACTCCCATGTCCGGGTAGAGCGTTGACTCCAGGAACGGTTCATAGATTTCCGTGATATTAAGAGGATCTTGAATCACAAGGGACGGAGGTTGCATCTCCAGGATGCTGGGGTTGCTGTTAAAACTGGTGAGGTACGAGTTCCTGTCCTGAAGTTCCTTGCTTAGCTTGCTGAGGTCCTGCAGCTCCTCACTCAGCCGCGACAGGTAATGGTCATCGAGGATCTTATTGTGTCGTGGCGGCTGCTGACATGCCTGCTTCTGGTACTGGTCAATCTCCTCCAACAGCTTCTCGCTCAGTTTCTCGGCGAAGTCCGCCAGATGCTGGCGGCAGTTCTCGTCCCACGTGTCATCTGGGCGCTCCTCGTGGTAGCGTTGCTCTGTCCTGTCCTCGCCGGGGGAGTGCCCCACACTCCACGGGAAGTTGTTTTTCGGATCGAGCCTATGCAGGTTCCAGTCACTGTCGAGCCCCGGGTACAGCCTGCCTATGCTGTCCGACTTGTGCAGGCTCCAGTTGCTGGTCGTGCTGCTGCTACTGCTCCCACTGAAGCAGCCGCTACCCTGTAGCACCGCCATCGCGTCGCTGTTCTCTGCTAGCTGCAATTTCCGGCGTCGAGCGCGAGGGCTCGACTGGATGACTGCATCTACGGCATCCTCTAGCGAGCTGGCAACATCGGCTGCGGCTTCAAGGAGGCTCAAGGAAGGGGGCGATACCCGTGGAGCCTGTTCCGTCGTCAGACACTCGCTGCTTCCGGTCTCTTCTTCCACTGCCTCCTGGACCTCAAGTAGTAGCCTTTCCGTGACTATCTCGGAGGCTTTCGGACTGGTAGTTGTGTTTCCCGGGGGTGGGGGAGGAAGACTTGAAGGTGAACACAGAGACTCAGGCGGCGGAGCGGGTTCTTCTACCGGGGGCTCTGTGAACAGCGATACACTGAAATTACCTTTCGAATTTATCTTGGATTCATGCCCATAATATATAAGTAAATAGCAGCCCATTGGAGTCAATGGGAGATTGAAAATATTAATACATAAATCATTTATTACAGGCTTCCTAATTCCACGAAGAGTAATTCCTTACTAATAGTAGCTATGGATATAACTTACAATTGAATTATACATAAGGAACAGTAAAGTTTAGAGGCTTGTTTCAGTGAATGGCGATTCAATTATCAAATATTTAGACAATACCATCTTTGCAGTCCCACAACACCTCGTAGGCACTGCACCGCTAGTTAAGGAACCTTCTGGAGACAGTCTGTATCTGCTTGATTCTCCACACTGGATGAGTAACGCGACTCCGCTCCGCTAAAATAAAGATGTGGACCCTAACAGTGATGACGCTGTTAATCGACCTCACGGACAAGTTCAGACGTATGTAATGTAACTGTCCAGTTTATCGGAAGGTCAATTGATGTTTGTGTATGGTTAGGGTTTTGTGGAATTCCTCACTTTCGCCTCACAATTTGAAATTTTCCCCCTGAGACAAACAGTAAGTGGCTTGGGTCAAGCCTGAAGCCAGCTGCCCATCAGTAAATCAGTCAATTTAATGCGTAAAACAAGGCCGAGTTCTTTAGAAATTCTAAACTTGACAGGGGAAGTCATCAATTTAGCAGCGTCGATTCCTGCTACCCCAAAATCTCAGTTTGACAGCCACGCAGCAGGTGGCAAAGTTCACCCCTAAACTGTACACTAGTGGATATTCGCTTTCCTAATTGGAGGAGAAAGATAAGCAACCTCCCAGTCTGCCCGGTCCAGCCAATCATCGTCTGAAGTGGGAGGTCCTTTGCCCGAATTTTGGTAACCAGGGCAAGTATTTACCATTCAGAGGGTGCTTGGCAAGGAGGACTTTGAAAGTTACATTCACCGGGGGTACACGTGTTCTGATCCCCGTAAACACGCCCTGTGGTGACCATAACGTGTGCGTCTCAGTGAACAGTAAGTAAGCCTACATCCACGAATCTGTGAAGTGTGCCACTACGGTGCTGTTTCCATTTAATTAGTGCAGATTTAATAAAGATTCCATACAGTTAATTGGTGTTGAGGTGACTTCCCTACGCCTAAAGCCCCACTAATCACCCAAGTCGTGGCCAGTCAACACGCCCTGAGAGGAGTCGAATTGCTCTACCGGAGCTAGCAGAACCAAAGAAAAACGGTTACACTAATTCCACGTCCCGTAAACTGTGCAATTCTTCAACGAAGTTCTGAGCCATATATCGACTATATTTTTGTTCATTCTGTGGCAATATCGGTGTGACGATTAACATCGTAGAAACATGATAATGGGACGTATTATTTTCTTGCTGAACATCCTTCATATTCTACCAATAACAAATAAGGAATACAGTATCTGTTGTCTGAAAACAAAACACGTCGTAAACAGGTTACAAATTCGTTACACCCGTTTGTACGTACAATCGTGAAGTCACAATTTCAGCATGTATGGTGATACAGATTCTGTGTGCCTGTTCTATAAACAAGAAGCTTTCAAATTCTTTGAACTTTATTACGTTTCACAGAAAAAACTACTAATTTGACGCCACATAATACGTCAATACTCATACTTAAGTACTAAGAGACCATTCGCCCTTTTCGCGACCTAATTTGAAAGCGTGTTATTGTAGGATGTAGCAAAATATGGTATTGAGAAAAATGGCATAAACTCGCAGCTTTCCCCAGTCTGGTCGCTAAACTTATAACTTTTCCGAACATTAGGGTCACGTTCTCTTTAGAATGAATGAAGTTGCTTCGGAAGAGCCGGTCAAGTTACTTTACCCAGTGTTCCTTGTGTTGTGCCTGTGGAGGTCACCAGTTGGGGCGGTTCCTCCGTGAGCACGCTGATGACACTGCTCACAGAGTCCGGAGAGGACACGCCACTGGAGTCGCTGTCCATGTCGTCCGTCTCCGGATTGAACAATTCTAGAGACAGCAATCGCGGCAGAGGCCGGGTTAGTGGCTCTGGTCGCCCTAGAACCATGGCAGTTGACCGGCGCACCAGTGGAAATGGGTTTCTTACTGCAGCGGCGCCTGCAATCAGACCAGCAAGAGTCTCATTGCGCCACATGAAGCCTGGCATTTTTACTCTGCTTCAAACGTTGTGCAACGTGTCCCAGAAGTACCTGGCGGTGGGAAGTGCAAGAAATATATTATTTTACTCTGTCATCAAAATGTATGTCCTAATGTTATATTGCATTTATTTTCTCCCTGTTGAACAAATGCAGAGAAAATTTTGAGGTTCAAAAATTATGTAAAGATGTAATGTGAATGTAATAATTCAGTTAAGTTCACTTGCTGTAGGGCCAATTATAAAGTAAGCACGAATGAAAGAAAGAAAAAACAGAAAGTACAAAACAAGGAAATTTATAAGTATCGTTGATAGTAAGATAGTAACAATAACAAAAATCAATATTATAATTTAGGAGTTGCTGCTGCTGCTGCTGATGATGATAATAATAATAATAATAATAATAACGGATATTATAAACGCGTTGCCAGGCAACAGGTCTGTAAACACGGTCCAAAACGAAACAATATAGGAAGCTGTGTTTTCCGCGTCCGTGGTGACGTCACACAACAGTTGGTAGTGATCACGTGACATGTGTTTCCTGTGATGCATGTCCGTTCCGCGGTTATATAAGTAAGAGTCCAGGAGTGTTCATAGCAGTTACGAGTAGTAGTAGCGGCAGAAGCATGCAAACAAGAGGATAACAGTAACATGGAGGAGTATAGCAAGCAAACAGTAAGCTTCAGGAGTACAGAAGAGTACAAGAAGTCAGCCTGTGAAGATTTAACTTATGATTTGAAGAATCTGTATACGATATAGTGCAGTGGTGTTAGGAGCGTGCGATTTAGGGAAACTTTTTTAGTTCCTGTGTTATAAATCCGTGAAGACTAGAGGAGATAGACTGAAGAGATTAGCGTGGAGTGATCAGTAACAGTGTTATAATTATTTGTAGTTACGACCTGTAGGTTGTTAATAAATCCAATTACTAATCCGAACCCCGTCTTTAGTCACTGTGACAAGTGACAATAATAATGACAGCAACAATATTTTTAATAATAACAACAAGAAATAGTTTATATACTCGTACATTATATTCCAAAAGGTTTTCCATCATGACGATGGCCAGAGGGGTGTGCTGAGCTGATGCAGAATATTATGAACGAATCAGTGATGAAACCCAAAATTGCGTAAGGCTACCGTACTGAGGAACTAGTATTTGATTATAGAATGTAGAGAAATGAAGGCGTTTCGTTATGGCTTGTCACCAGGTGCGGTATGATTTGCGGTATATTTCAACATTTATCGCCAAAAGGAGAAGAAGACTAAACTCAATTTTGCACACACGTTTGTTGTTAATACTAAAAATTTAAGTTATTACAGTATTGCCCTTTGAGAATTTGAAAGGAAATTTCATCATTTGTTACATCAGCTTCCGTGCTATGTACTAACTTCCCCTGCTGTCCCCTGTTTTCCTTCCAATATCAAATGATACGTCGAAGCCAATGTTTAACACCGCGTTCCACAAATAAACAATCTAATTATCTGGTGTGTAGACTATATACGTCACGTATCAGTACAAAAATGTTGTCAGTACTCACATAATAAACACGATTCATTGAAACAAAAGACTGCACTCCCTTTCGTGACCAACTATATAATCTATGTTCCTGCAACATTTTAACCCTCAGCAATTCGTTATTATGGTAACATAGAATTACTTAATTCAAGAGGAACATTTCACCCTTAAAATATTTTATATGTGTTTCTGAAGGGGATTATGAGAACCCTCGAGAACCATGTGATTGTCTTATATCTGTCCCTCTCTCGTGCTGGTAGGAGTTCGAACAACGTGAGAAGGATTTCATTGAGAATGGGGAAATAAATCATCATTGAATTCGATTTGGATGCGGTGTGAGTGCTGCAGAGGGATGAGCCATCAGAAAACGCCACTCGATAAGGCAGCGGGTCTTCACTTCCGAACCAGGCGATATAAGGCAGGCTTTCTTAAATCCGGTGAACGCCGTCGACAAGAACCGCCTTTTTTTAAAGCCTAAGATTTATTACCATATGCACAAGAGTCCGTAACCTGAGTCGCTTTAATCAAATCTACAATCTAATGACCCATTTTAATATCATCTTTCCATATATGCCTACGTTTCTCATGACCTACATACATTCTACAGGGTCCACGCGTCCAGTGTCTCTTCATTTGATTGCTCCAATATAATTTGGCGAAAAGTACAAATTATGAATCTGTTCATGAAGGAGTTCCCTGTATCTCCCTGTTCCTGTCCGTCTCAGGGGAGCCATGTTGCACACGCTTTGTACCTGCTTTCCTGCCCGTCACAGGCGCCGTGCGTGACCTCAGGAGCTCCTGTATTTGGCGCAGGCGTTCGCTGTGTCTCAGTTCATCCGCCGGAGGCTTCTCTTCATCCGGAGGCAGTTCCTGCTCCTCAACGTCCTCTTCCTCTTCCAGTGGCTTCTCCTCTATGAGTGGGGTCCTAGGACTGAGCGAGGGGGGCGACAATTTAATCTGTGGGGAAGGGGAGGTAGGCTGTTGCTTGATGTTTGGCGAAGTCGGCTGCGGGGATTTGGGTGGTGTCGTGGTGGGGTCAGGTTTTGGCATAAATATAACAGAAGCGAAGCTGTCCTCCGAATCCACACTCGTGTCACTCTGCAGACTGCTGTCCTTGGAGGAATCCGAGCCATCCTCCCTCGAATGGCGACGTTCACTGCCTGACCTTCCAGCTTCCTTCTTGTTATTGTCGTCCCCGTTAACAGAGAAAGAGTTCAAAGGTTTCTTACTGTCTGGTGGCGGCGTGCATGGGGGTACCGCATCGCTGGGTGTAGGGGTGGCGGAGGGGCGAGTGTTCGGGGATACATCGCCCCCTTTCCAACCCTGGAGTATCCGCACGAAGCCGTTCTTGAAGGAGGTTCCTGCAACCTTCTCGATACCCGTGGTGGAACTCTTCAGTTTGCTGGTGAGGCCGTTCTTGAGCAACTGGAAGCGTTTGGCCGTGGACGTGTTGAAGAACGTGTCTCGCAGGGAGTCGAGTGTGCGGTGGCTCCTGTAGATGAGCTCCTCGTTGAGCGAGGCCTGCTTCTGAATGTTCTGCCTCACACGCTCCTTCTCCCGCAACCTCTCCGCAGACATGAGCTCCTCGTTCATGGAACTCTGCTTGAAGACGTTGCCGTAACGCTGGGAACCTCCGGTCCCTGGCACTTTGAACTCCGGCAGCGCCTTCACCAGGTCCCGCATGCCGCCTTCTTCTTCCATTTCTTCGCAGACTGACTTCTTCTGCTTCACAAGCCTCGGTTTGGTGTTGTTCGTGTTGGTGGCGGTTGGCGCTGCAGAGGCAAGGTCGCTGGTGCCTGCGGTGTTCTCCGAGCCTACCCCAAGGCTGGGTACGCTCGAACGGGAGCGGACCATTGCCCGCTGTCCCACTGTTAGGATGTCGGACAGGCTCTTGGACTTATGGTTCAGTACCACCTCGTGAGGCGTCGCCCGCCGCGCGCAGGCGAACGTCTGCCGGCGTTGGGGCGGCTCGTGCTGGTCCTCTTCAAGGCGTCGCAGCTCGATCGGTAAGTCCTGGATGTCTTCGCCTTCACCTTCTCCATCCTCGCACCCCTCGGGATCGTAGCGGTGAGGGGGTGGGGGTTCTTTGGTGCAGGAGCTCCACGAGTCGAGAAACCAGGGCCGGTGACCGGATCCGCCGCGCTTTCCCCCGGCCAGTTTCTGAGACAAAAGAGAAGTGCCATTGTACTCCATCTGCCCTGGCATCATCAGCTAGGAACGTAGACCGTCGCATCATCATTTGAAAGTTGTTTTAATGCTAGTGGGGTGGGACTAAGTCCCTTGTACTGCGGCCACTTCTGGCCTATTGTACCAGCCCCAGATGATAGGTGAGGGTGATTGTGGAGTAATTGGTGGAATGAAGATTGGCAGGGGAAACCGAAGTACTCGGAGGAAACCTGTCCCAGAGCCACTTTGTCCACCACAAATCCCACTTGACCAAACCCGAGATCGAACCGGGGCCGCCGTGGTGGGAAGCCAGCGAATAACCGCTTGAGCTATGGCGCGGCCCAGTTCCTTGAGTTAGTCGGCTATGATACAGTTTCAGGAAGCCACAAATTTTGTCTCATTCGAAAGTTGCAACAGTTGTTAGATGACACTAAGTGTACAGACTGACACAAAGTAGCCGTGACTTGCAGTGACTTCGTGGCGAACAGCTGATGGCTCTTGCGCTATTGCAACTAGCGGACCACAAGTCATATAAGGCTGTTTTCTTTGACAAATTCCGCTGAAACTAAGAAGTTTCGAGGAAAATCATTTGGATTTTGACTGTATGAGCATTCTTATCTCCTGAAGGTTTAAAAAAATATTTGATGCACAAATGTGCTCTGATCCGTTGCGTAATTCTTGCTACACAAAAAACAAGTTCTGGGAAGAACTAATGTCCTAATTTCCTTGATACGTCACGGACCGCACATAAAACGACGCACCCAACAGTTCTTCTATTTTTGCGTGAGTATTCGTTGCCTCGGTAACACCTTTACCGAGTCGTTGACTAACAACGATAGAGGGATATACAGACAGGTGGGAGGGATTTATGCAATACGCCTTTAAGACGGATTAAGGTTCCACGATATACATGCCAAATTTCATAAAGACTGTTTCAGCCATTCAAAAGTTCATGGGGAGGGGTACTGAGATACACAGGCAGCACAATGATGGCATAAGCCTACTTTTTATTTTTTCAAAGTCAAGAAAGTGAGCGTGAGTTGAAAGCTCTGAAATTAAAGCAGTTTGGGGTTGCCACAACACGGAATTTTCGAGCATTAACGCGTTGCATTAAAAGTATGTTATGTAGCAGTCTTCAAAGAGTGGCCAGTCTTTTGTTTCAGTGTATCGTGTCTATTCTCTCAGTACTGGCTGTGTGAAGGGTAGTATACGTGTATAGTAGTACTATTCAAAGGTGGTGGTTTATGTTCCAGTTATGTGCGTTACTCTTGGAAGGTTGGGCTAAACTTCAAACGATGTATCACTCGATAATATACAGGACTGGAAAGAATACGAGAAAAAGCAGGGGAAGTTAATATATAAGAAAAGTCGACAATTCCTGCTGAATTCTCACCGGCTGTCTCACTCCTACTTAGATAAAAGAAGAGACCTTGAAAAATGGCTAGTTCTTGGAACACTGAGGGCGGCTGGTCTCCTTCTGAATAAAGCACATTTAATCAAAATTGTTAGAATAGAATACGCGCAGTTGGTTGAGGCACTATGCTACAAGCCGGAAGGTCGCGGGTTCAAGTCCCGATGAGGTCACTGGATTTTTTTCAATTGACAAGCCTTTCAGTCGAATTATGGCCCTGGGATCGACTCAGCCTCTAACAGAAATGAGTACCAGGAATATTCTTGGAATATTCTTGGGGGTAAAGGGCGGCTGGCGCGTAGGGCTGACAAACTTGCCGCCATCTTTGAACCGATAGTCTAAAAAATGTGGGAACCTCAACATCTCACAACCCTATGGGCCTCCACTGCTTGTTACAGGGATACTTTTACTTACTTACTTTGGAAAACTTCAAGGTCGAAGGGATTGATTCATACTGGGAAATTCCGGATTTAAACATTGACCTGGAATACTTGTATCCTGACTGCGTTTCATTTTTACTCTGACTTTTCAGGTCGGGAAGGGTTAGACGGTACAGAGATGAGTTACGGGCTGGACGGCCATATTATTCTGTATGAAATGACACAACCAGAGGCTTATGTTACCATTACTAACCTATAAATCGAAAAGGCATCTTTAAACAAACCACAGTTGAACAAAGGGATACATACCTGTAGAGCCCTTCTGACGAAACTGTAGCAGGTTTCATTGGGACTGGAGAGGCTCGAACTGCTCTGGGAGCTGCTGCAGGGGCGTGCAGGATCGATGGACCGTCCCTTGTGTCTACTACGACCCCTTTTCCTCTGGCTCGCGTCGAGTCTGAAACACAAAGCGGACTTGTGCTTCGGGTTGGCTGCACATCTGCTGAAAAGGCCAATCATTTGATTTCTTTCTGCAAGAAATGTTTTGAAATATTGTTGTGTCTGTCATGATGTCTGAGGGCAAGAACTGCGGGAGAAGGTTCGGTACGAAACGGATGCTGCAAGGAGTTCTGTCTTCTGTGATGTCACGCCCTGCACTCTGACGGAAGTTTACTGACGCATCAGAAGAAAACGCTGCCTCTATTTTGAGGGCTGAAGGGCAGTCTTTCCCCTTGGTTATTGCTGATTTCCTTCTTCGCTTACCCTTCAACATTGAAGATGGTGCCAATACGTAATACTGAAACGTCAGGAAAATTCTACTAGACAACACGGCGTCACACCCCAAAAGAAAATACTTTTCATAATCACCGCCATCAGAACCTAAAATCTAACAAGAGTAAACATATATATATATATATATATAATGCCTTGTGTCAATGAAATATGTCGAGAGTTTGTTAGAAAATCACGGAGAAAGATGTGTGACTGTAATTTAATGGATTCCCCGCGAGGCGTCACTGTTGCGCAACACTCACCGCGCAGATCTGCAGGAGTCGCTGTCAGAAGTCTGTGTATAGGCGTGGTATGGAGGTGGACCGTCCTCCTCGGATGTGGTGGTCGTGGTGGATGTGAGCTCAAGCGACGGGGTGCTCAGATGCTGCGGCCTGTGCCAGGGGACCAGCACGTCCTGGGACTGGAACTGCAGAGCACGAGTTGCATCCTTCAGTAACTACTTTAATACTAGCACTGATTACCGTTGTACACCCATAAGAACTCCTAGAAACATAACCTTCTTCTGAGCATAAACAAATCACCTGCTACTGGCAAGAAACTAGCATCAAATACAAAGGGATACATCCTTTTGTGGTTTAGTATATGACACTGTCAGTATCTAGCGTCGAATGGCGAGATGACAGATGAATGAGGAAGCAAACAGTCATGGCTTAATCGAGAAATTTCCTGGAGGGGCTGAGGAAATCTACCAAAAGCCTGAGTCGGAACAGCCGGTCCCCGGAGATTGGAACCAAACACTTCCGGTATACGAGTCTTCAGTGCTACTGTTACGCCAGTCTGCTTGATAATTGGACCGATAACAAAACTGGAAATAATATATTCCAAGGGTAGGATCTATTAACGTAAGTACAGAAACAACTGACAGTTGAAAGGCCAGTGTTCTCGCAGACAGTACTGGCTTTACGAAGATTCGCATTACTACCTTTCGCTCATACGAACTTTAATACCGAAGCGCATGCTCTAGGTTTGGTTTTGTCATCCGAACACGAACTCCCTCATCCGAAATCCGTTCCGAACAAAAACGGACATGAGAGCACCAAAACGGAAACAGACGACGGCAACCTCGCAATAGCAATTCAGGTCTGTTATAATTATATTATTATTATTTTGTGTAATTATATGCATTAATTTGTTTTTCCTCCAATGTTTACCTTTAATTAGTTTCTGACTTTATGTTGTGTTTGTCTAGTATGTAACTACTTTTATCTACACTGTGCTGTGTCTGTAATTGGCCTTGCGGCTTTTGGCTCAGCACATAAATAACAGAGAATTGAATTATTATTTGTCTATATTTGTACCATACTGAAGAGTATCCTATCCAACAGCTAGGGCCACACCTTGACCCTGAGGCTCAATATTTTATTATTTGTTAAATATTTTGTTATAATGTCAATCAAGAATGTTATGATAAAGCTGGACAGGGCCTATGGCACTCATGAGATAAAAAAGAAATCCATAAAAATTTTGGTAGGAATACCTGAAGGAAGAGGACCACTAGTAAGACCTAAACTTAGATATAAGTGTAATAGAGTCGATCCTGGAGAGGTAAGATGTGACGGTGTGAACTTTGATTCATCAAGTACAAGGTATCTACCAGTGGCAAGGTCGTTTCAACATTGTAATAAGTCTTGAGGTTCCACGAACTGCTGGGAATTTGGACAGCTGTTAGGTTCTCAAGAAGGATTCAGCTCCATGAAGCTAGTTATGATAGCTGCTAATGTAATGTTTACTACTTCTATATTGAATGTTATTCACTGCTAACAACATTTTGATTTTCTTTTTTACTCTATCTTTTTCAGGTTGAGCGTGTCCATTTTGCCAAGCCGTCTTGCAGTTACTACGGCGGTAATGTATAATTTGAATTTACAGTTGCATGATATGACCAAAGGAGCATATAATTTTTTTTATTTATCATTTATTAGCAATCTGAATTTACATTCTATGAGCTAATTTGCTGTCATGTACAATAATTATTCTATTGTACTAAGTTGGCTTGAAGAGCTGTAATCCATCGATTACACCTCAGTTTTCCTGGAGATCGTTTGGCCAAGTTCGTCTTAGTCTTCTGTATTGTGTAGGTTGAAGGAGAGCTTCTATTGCGTTGTTGGGGTGAGATTCCAGTTTCTGATAATGTTTTTGGATTCTGTCTGTGATTACGGTTCTTACATATGGGATCTTGAGGTCGGTGTGAAGAGTTTGGTTTGACACGTACCAAGGTGCGTCAACTATGGCTCTTAGTATTGCAGATAAATGATTAACGATTCCTGCAGGTATTTTCTTGGAAGCTGCAACTTACGTCCGGGCAAGAAAGACCGGATATGAAGCTACCAAGCCGCTAAGTGTGGCAGAACAGCCATTATGTTGCCCCAGAGGGACTCAGGCAATAGAATGGTATAGAGTTCAGGAACATGATCTACAGTTGTGTTGCTCATTTATGTAGTTCAGAGAAATTGTTGACATTTTGAGATTTTGACACGTTTACACGTTTTCGTGCGCCCGAATGCCGTCTGTCTGTATATACAAGCATGAGCGCCTCGCTAGCGTCTGGACTGTTAGACAGATTTAATTCATATTCAAGGGTTTGTCCATCATAAGTCGGTGTTCGGTCAGTATGAAAAATCTACCTCAGTAGATGGAGGACCTTCAAATGAATGCCGAGAAACAAAATGGCGATATTCTTGGAAACGACTGTATCGATTTTGATTACATTCCAGAAGTTTTAGGGGACAGCATCCTCAAATAAAACTGCGTAGGCGGCATCTTCAGCGAAATAACCGTACTCTTCCTGTAGGCAGAAGCGTGAAATGTCAATTTTCTTGAAAAGTGCTTCACATACTTTTATTAAATTCTAATCATCTGTACAGGTAGCGGGTAACTGAAAGCTGTTATCCTACAAATGTACATGGGGAAGTACGTGTAATGTATTTTAAGCTATTTTTTTACGCGTCTACGTTCCTCAGTTTCGCTGTTTGAGCCCTGCCAGTTTTAGTTCTTGATAGGATCAAACTGCAGAATATAATGAGACCACAGGCGCGTACTGTTCTACCCCTTGATCACTGGGACCGTTAGTTCTAATTCTGCCAATTGTGCAGCTACTCAAGAATTTCCCAGCATTTTATGGAACACGAAAGTTCATTACCGTGTTCACAAGAGTCCTCCACTGGTCCCTATCCTGAGCCAGATCAATCCAATCAATACCATCCCATCCTATCTCTCTAAGATCCATTTTAATATTGTCCACCCACCTACGCCTTGGTTTTCCCAGTGGTATTTTTCCTTATGGCTTTCCCATCAATATCCTATACGCATTTCTTGTCTCCCCCATTCGTGCTATATGCCCTGCCCACCTCATCCTCCTCATCGCAGTGCAATATAGTCATGATAAAGCGTAATTACACTTCCGTGTTTCGTTTATCTTAAATAGAATGTGAGAGATACGAAGCAATACTGCGATGTACTTTGTGGTGACCTCCATGGATCTCCGGGGTTTGCAATGCCAGGCTGTTCTTAAAATTCTAAGTTCGAAAATTCTTATTGAAGTCTGCCGGGTTATTGGTTTAAATGAATTGTAATTACAATTTGGCATTGGGGATGTGTAATAAAACTTCAAAATATTGAAATTTTGGCTCAAATTCCGTGGCTTTAGTCCGCACGCGAACTATACCTACCGAACGACCGCCGCTTGTCGGCTTAGTTAGTGCCAACTTTAGCCGATAGAGGGTGTCGCATGGTCAGCGCAACGAATCCCCATGATCATTAATTTCGGTTTTCTAGACCGGAGAAGTTTTGGGTAAAACTGGACAAAAATAACGCATGCTTTACATGAAAATCTATATGATTTTGTGCGCGCAAATCATTAAATGTTTATTGGAGCGGAAACTCTTTGAGACAAAAGCCGTAATTAAGAACGTAATCACGTGTTCTATATCCGATACACTTTTAAGTAAGTCGTATTACTTTCGATATACTGAAACAAAAAGGACAGGCCACATCCAGGGACTGATACGCTATGTGTGCATTTCCAAACTTGTAATATCCGAAGCCGTCATGGCAACTGAAGTTCTCTGGCTCTGAACCCTGTCAGGAACTGATGAAGGCAGAAGTGGTCCCTGAAACGTCGGACACTTTCAACCACCTGACAGGGCTGTTAGGCCGTGATGATATGATTCATTTCGCAACTTGTTGCAGAGTATATTCGCAGCTCAAAAATTTGCACAGACAGTTTGGGTGTGAAAATTTTGCACGGGTCTTCCAGTTTGCTCAATATTGGAGCGTCCGCCGCCTACGCAAACATGGATAATGTTATCTCTCGTGTAATGCTCTCACTTTTGTGAAGTCATGGTCAGACATGTATTATTAAAACGTTAAAAAAATTACGTGTATTGCAGTCAGCGCTTCGGTTCTTTTTTCTCTCTTTTTGGCATTATCGTGACCTTGACGCATGTGCAGTGGAAGTTGTTACGTAACATCCCGGTTTGTTCTTAAGCTCCGACGTTACATGTTTTACTTATGACCTTAGAAAAGACAATAGACCATCAACTTTAAACGAATTGTTCCAGTTCTTGAGTTTAATATTTTCCTTATTTGTTTTTAGTGGTTTGGATTTCCGGAAACATTATAAGATCGTTTCGTTTTTTTTATGAATATATGGAAGAAATAATGGAAACTGAACTACAAGTATTTCATATTTCGTAATGCTTGATTTAAAATTTTCTTTCCCCCCATCTCCACATTTTCGCGTGCACATTTCCATTCTGCATCAATAAGAAACGCTTAACTGCTGCATTCTTCTTTTATCGGTTAAAGTTATCAGTCGGTTATTGATGCCAATTAAGCTGTGTCCCGAAGTGATCACAATAAGAGTCGGACACTGTGTATTTATAGTATATTTAAATATTACGTGTGCCCTCTCAGTAACAGAATTTCTGTGGTCTGTTTGCAACTTGGGCAGTGAGCTGCTGTCTGTTCACCTTTCTGTGCCTCTGCTTCATGGCCCAGACGGTGATGATGAGACGACCCCCGATGCGGAGCACCCTTGCCAGCTCCCGCAGCGCCCCAACCCTGCGCTCTGTCGTCGCGAAGTGGTGAACCACAGCCACGGAGAGCACAGCATCGAAGCTCTCGTCCCTGAACGGCAAGGACAGGTTATCGCACAGCAACACCTGCAGACAGGTCACAAAATCACAGATAAACTGCATTCAGAGCATCCGCAGTGTCCCTACCCGGGCTGTCAGATTGCTAGCAATTTAAAGATTAGATATTTATCTTAACTTCCGTTTAGGAAACAGTACCTGAAATGAGAGATGTGTGAACATTTGCACTGTGTAAATAAAGTCATGGAATTTTATGGTTGGCCATGTTAAATGTACTGATATGTTGGGTTTTTGGACTTTATCCATCGTCCTGGTTTTTAAGATAACAAATAAAAACACGACGTTTCGGAAACTGGATCGAGCTAGCCTNGTCCAGTGATTGAGGCTAGCTCTTTCTAAGGGACCCAACTGAATAGGTGTTTTCCTTCACCTGAGGACGGAAACAGATCCAGTTTCCGAAACGTCGTGTTTTTATTTGTTATCTTAAAACCCAGGACGATGGATAAAGTCCAAAAACCCAACATATCAGTGTGTTATACTCCATCGTCAGAATCCTATAGTAACTACATGTTAAATGTATATTTGTTGGGCAAAGTTTCAGAGCCGTATTAGGATTCACTGCACGCATTGTAACTTTCAATTGTTGAAAGCCGATAGCCACGGCAACGAATCGTTCAAAGCACAGCAACGGAGGGATGCGATAGGATTAACTGTTGGGAACGGTGTCGCATGTTCGGTCGGCTGAAGGGTTATATAAAGAGACAGAAGTCAGACACAGAAATCAGAAGTGAAGTCTTTATTTTATGTCGTGTAGTTAGAGTAACCTTTAGTGTGTTATCATTGTCCGTAGTTACGTGTTACAATTGCAGAAAGATTAAAAGTGTTATAATTAATTGTAGTTCCGACTGGAGAACATCCTGTAAATCGACTCACCTAGCCAAACCCGCGTCTAAAGCCACTAATACACTTGACAATACACTGAACCCTGGAGTTCAGCACACCTGTATTGATAGATCCACATATTGAACCGCGGAGCTCAGCATATGTCTACTGATAAATCCATATATTGTGCCCTGGGGTTCAGCAAACATCTGTTGGTAGATACAAGTACACTGAACCCCGGGGCTCAGCATATGTCTACTGATAAATCCATATATTGTGCCCTGGGGTTCAGCAAACATCTGTTGGTAGATACAAGTACACTGAACCCCGGGGCTCAGCATATGTCTACTGATAAATCCATATATTGTGCCCTGGGGTTCAGCAAACATCTGTTGGTAGATACAAGTACACTGAACCCCGGGGCTCAGCATATGTCTACTGATAAATCCATATATTGTGCCCTGGGGTTCAGCACATATCTATTGGTAGATACAAGTATACTGAACCCCCGAGTTCAGCATACCTCTACTGACAGATTCACCTATTGAACCCCGGAGCTCAGCATTTGTCTATTGACAGATTCATATATTAAACGCTGGCATTCAATATACATCTGTTTGTAGATACGTATATTGAATCCTGGGGTTCAGCATACCGGTATTGATAGATCCATATATTGAACACTGGGGTGGAGCGTATGTATATTGGTAGATGTATAAATTGAACACGGGGTTCAGCGTACCTCGTGTTCCTTTTCCCTCGATGTTTCCATGAGAGCGCAGCACCTGTCCACCCCGATCTTGAACACTGACGGATTGACATTAAGGTACTTGCCGTTCCCACAACCTGCAACAGATGTCAAGTTTGTGTTAACAGGGCTCAACCGGATAGCAACTGATATCCCAAACGAAATTACATTTCCCCCTACACTTAACAATGTAAACAATCAAATAGAAAATACAGGAGTGAAGAAGCATCCAGTGCCACAGTGAAGAGTGGTAGAGTTCTATCTCCGCTCCCCCATACGTCTCCATGGCATACTGATTAATAAATTAAGCACAGGGACAATTTTACCTTTGCCTTTTAAAGCACAATTCTTTAATAAAAACAATATCTTAAATATACATAACTAGTGAAATGCTACGTTTGGAGCATCGCTTTGTATGAGGCTGAAACTTGGACACTCAGGACAGTAGATCAGAAACACCTGGAAAGCTTCGAAATGTGGTGTTGGAGAAGGATGGAGAAGATCAGTTGGACCGATTATGTGAGAAATGAAGAAGTGTTATTTAGAGTCAGTGAGCAGAGGAATATCCTACACGAAATAAGAAAACGGAAGGCTATTGGATTGGTCATATCTTACGCGGTAACTGCCTTCTAAAAGAAGTTACTGAAGGAAAGATAGAGGGGCGGATAGAAGTGACCAGAAGACGAGGAAGAAGACGTAAGAAGATGCTGGATGACCTTGGGGACAGATGAGGATATTTTCATTTGAAGGAGAAAGCTCTAGATCGCATTAAATGGAGGAACTCCTTTGGAAGACACTGTGGACCTGTCGTCTTGACAGATTACAGATGAATGAATGAATGAATGAACATATATAAAACATGTGTTGATAAATAATTAGATTATTTCCCATTCAGTTGTTCCAGTTAAGAGAGAGTTCCCCTCTTCATTTGTGCTTTTGGTGTGTTCAAAGTAATGTTTGTTTACTGTGTTGCTTTTGAGGTCCTCACAGCTGTGACTATGGGATGTGACATCGTGTATTATGGCAGAAGCTCACAGCCGTTTCCGAGGAACATACTATCTCCATATACAGGGTCGAAGATATTGTGACGTGTATACCCGCTTGTCACCCCCTCCCGGTTCTGAACAATCCATGTCTGCTGATATCAACGGTGCAGAAGTACCTAGACTCAGATTTGCATAGAAGTATGCGGACCTCTCCCCCCCCCCTTCTTTGCTTCCTTATCACCCATGAGGCCCGTTTCCTTCCTCTTTGCTCGCGGAAGCCATCTACCTCTGCAGGTCCGTCGGATTCAGCGGTAATTGTTGAGGTCCGAAGGTCACAATTGGTTTGTTGTGACTTGTAGGTCATGGAGCGCCATCATGCATGTCCTGTACAGTTCATTATAACGGTTCTTGCCTCGGGGGCCCCTCACAAGTTTACCCGAGCTTCTTTCGCACTATTTGCTGTCTTCTGCCAGTTGTCACTGTGAACTACCCAACCCGGACGAGCGATCGTACCTACAGGTCATGCACCTGAGTTGACACTATTTCCACATGGGTCACCGTGGGACGAAACCGCTGGGCTCTCACACGACCAATGAGCGAAACACGGGCGAGCCAATGGGAACTGAGGTCCACTCTTCCATTTCTCCTCCTCCTCTCTACATAATCCGAAATTTCCGAGAGACGATTGTTCTGCTTGTCACCTGCTTTCACGCTGGAATCTTGCTCGGCTTATTCGATCCTGAAGATGAAAACGACGTTCATTCGAAACGTTGGTTACTTTTAACGGTCTACATCGCATTATGTCTCGGAAGATAAGAGTTCTTCATAACCATCGCTACGAGACCCTCGGACCCTACGCATTTTAGTTTCCCTTGCAGGGCATTTAAGTAGGTATACAATATACTTCGGGGGCATGACGTAGCATAGTTTGTTGAGGAACTATGCTGCAAGCCCGGTGAGGTGGATGTTTTAAATTGACCTAATCCTTCCAGCTGCACTATGGCCATGGGATCTATTGAGCCTCTAACAGAAATGAGTACCAGGAATATTCCTGTTGGTAAAGGGCGGCCGGCGCATAAGGCTGACAAGCTTACTGCAATCTGTGAACCGATTGTCTAGAAAATGTGGGAGCCTCAACATCTCACAACCCAATGGCCTCCTCGGCCTGTTACAGGGATAACTTTACTTATTTTAATCTTTTCAGCCGCACTATGGCCCCGGGGTCGACTTAGCCTCTAACAGAAATGAGTACCAGGAATCTTCTTGGTGGTAAAGGGCGGCCGGCGCGTAAGGCTGACAACCTTACCGCCCTCTGTGAGTCGATAGTCTAGAGAAAATGTGGGAGCCTCGACGTCTTACAACCCTATAGGCCTTCACGTCCTGTTACAGGGATAACTTTACCTTATACAGTATACTTCAGTTAGACACACCAAACGCTAGGATAGTAGATAAATGATGAATTGGAAAGGATTTAGAAGGACTTTGTCGTAGCCTAATGGAAATAATATACCAGCATTTGCCTGAAGGGACTGAGGAGAACCACAATATATATATCGATCTGAATAGGGGTGTCTCGGCAAAGATTCTAAGCGAACGCCTCTCGAATAAGAGTCTAGAGCAGTGGTTCTCAACCGCCGGGCCGCGGCCCGGTACCGGGCCCTAGCATCAATTATACCGGGTTCTCGTCTTATAGAAACAAGAATTTACCGGGCCGCGGTCTCACAGAGGTTGAGAGCCACTAATCTACAGGGCTACTTCTATGCCAGTCTTATATGCAGTACACACCTTTCTTAGTTGGTACAGTGTTATTAAATAACCCAGTTGAAATTAATGAGGCTCACAGAGAGGTTGGGAATTTTTACATTTAAATGTTAAGAAATATGAAAATTAGAATATACAAAACTACAAATTTGTCGGTGGTTCTGTATGGGTGTGAAACTTGGTCTCTGACATTAAGGGAGGAACATCGACTGAGGGTGTCGAGGAGAATATTTGGACCGAAGAGAGATGAAGTGACAGGAGGTTGGAGAAAACTGCATAATGAGGAGCTTCATAACTTATACTCTTCGCCAAGTATAATTAGAATGACCAAGTCATGGAGGATGAGGTGGGCAGAGCATGTAGTACGAATGGGGGAGAAGAGGAATGTATATAGGATATTGGTGGGAAAGCCAGAAGGAAAGAGACCACTGGGAAGACCAAGGCGTAGGTGGGTGGACAATTGTAAAATGTATCTTAGAGAGGAGGCTGGGATGGTATTGGTTGGATTGATCTGGCTCAGGATAGGGACCAGTGGAGGACTCTTTTGAACACGGTAATGAACCTTCGGGTTCCATAAAATGCTGGGAAGTTCTTGAGTAGCTGCACAATTGGCGGCTTCTCAAGAAGGGCTCAGCTACATAAGTAAGTAAGTAAATGTTATGAAAGCCAAATCTATTCCGTCACTCAGATGACTTCTCCAGCAGACATATGACTTGCCTACAGGCATACAGCCATAAAGCTTAAAGTAATGGTATTAATTGACCTGCATCGCTTTGCCTATATGGACGCCACGGAAAGACGTCCCACGGATCCACCCCTTCCACATCTCCCTTGCGCAGCTACCCTTCCCCTTATTCCCCCTCCAGTGGACTATACATTCGGTTCACACGAACTCTGGCGATGATAATCACGTGATAAATTTCGCTACAGACAAGAGCTTATGACTGGTTGACGAAGAACTGTGGGGCTGGAGGGGAATATAACAGTGACAGAGAGGGGAGAAGCTCTGAGCGCAATGAACACTTCTTATATGAACTTAAGTAAACTTAAATAAGTTTATTTCTGAAACATTCCGACACTTCGAAAGAAATCGGTTTTCTGGAATTACATGCGCGCAAGCCATTTATCTCCATGGGGTTAACTCCTCAGAAATATGTAACCAAAGAAAATAGTGAACGGTTGCACAAAGGATATCATACTTTTACATATTTAAAGCGTAGTCAAGCTGATGCCTTCTATACCAAATTTCACGAGAATAGAAGAATCTGATTTACATATAATAATTAGGGCCCGGATCTTTATGCGCTTAAAAAACTTAAAATATGCACCAAAAATAAAACAATATGCACTTAAGAAGCAGGTCACTTCATTCAGACTCGCCTATTTACATGTATCATTTACTGCAGAAAGTAGCATCACAATAGGCAAGTCTTTCAGTGTTTTCTGGAGACAAACTGCGTCTGTTGTCCGTCAAAATGAGTTTAGAGGCTGAGAATGATCTTTCTACATCAACTGACTTGATTGGACAGTATTTATACACTGGCGCCGAAGGTTCAGAACATTCATCTGGCAAAGATACCCTAATTCCACTCAAGTACTGACTAATTGACTGAACCCTTTTTAGTCCTGGGTTCGATTTCAACACCTTTTCTAACTTGAATTTAATCTTCTCTCCAATTTCGCCTGGAGCGGAATTCAGTGAACAAGTTGTTTTCTGAACGAGTTGAAGTGAGTCGTGAAGGAGCGCACCACAAGATTCTAAGCTGTCAATGGCCTTTGAAACTGTAGAAAAATGTGCATGGGTAAAATTCACATCTTGATAAACAGTATCACTTCAAAACACCACTTTTGCTTCACGGACACATGCATACTCATCTTCAGGTTTTGTAACCACTTCTTTTACTTGATTGAAATTCTCCTGATAAAATGAAACTGTGGATAACCATGTCCCCCACCTAATTAGGACAGGTTCAGGTGGCAGAGGAACCTGAGGTAGGCAATCTTTGTAGAACTGGACACGAGCTGGTACTTTCAGAAACAGTTTTTCCCACTTGCAATTAAATCATTAACAGCTGGAAACTGTGCGTATTTTTCCGCAATATGGTGTAATCCGTGAGCTAAACAGGTTACGTGTATAAGATTTGGATAAAATACTTATAAGGCCTTTGCTGCTTTCAACATATAGGAAGCTGCATCTGTGAGTAACACAAGCACCTTACAACAATTATTCTCATGTGGCCATAGTACAGAGAATCATTTATAAATCTTGCTATTGTGATATGGTTGGTTTTCTCTAGTACTTTGCAAGCAAGAAGATGAGGTTTGCTGGCTTCATCTGGATGTAACTTAACAACTACGAAATTTGCTAAGCATCGGCCACATAAATCAGTTGTCTCATCCTTAATTATCCTTAATTTCAAACATATATGCAGAAATATGCTCTTACATTTAGAATATGCAATAGCGACCAAAAACCCTCAAAATATGCATTTGCATATGCGCATATGCATTTTCAAAGAATCCGGGTCCTAATAATAATTAATCTCCCTATATACACGTAACGATACATATACAGAGTGAAGCAGAGGAAACGTGTATTTTTCAAATGGCTAGTACTCGCCAAGGGTGGGGTTGATGACCTTGGGAATGAGCCGGCAGACAGCACAGACAATGCAATTTCAGTATCCATTGAGCGTTGGAACGTAGAGCATCGTGTGTCTGCTGTCGAACAATTTTTTAGAAACAGTGATTCCATAATTACTGTCCAACTTCTTTTCCGTCGAAAGTTCAATGTTGAGCGTCGAGGAACAATTCCAGATCTTAACACTATACTGCGATGGGTTGAAGCATTTAGAACTACTGGATCTGTCATGAAGAGGAAACCAGCTGGCCTTCCTCTGCTTCACTCTGTATAAATCTCGACCAAAATGAAGTCCACAGTCTTGTAAGAGGACCAGTCACTTACCGACGTCGCAAACGAGTGACCCCGGTTCCAGCTCTGAGAGGAACTGTTTGACTTTCGGCCACGCTCGACCCCGCTGACTGTCTGCAGAGGCCCCAGCCGGGAGCTGTGCCCCAGAGATCTGCTCATACACCTCGTGAACGTAGGCTTTCTCCAGTGCGACCGATCGGGCCTCGCGCTCTTCCGCCCCCGACATTCTTCCGGTCACCCGCTTGTCATTTCTGCCAGCTGCAACAGGGACGGACCATAAGGCATCAGCGCGACACATGTATATGTTTATCTATTTACTAGTGTAAATTTACTAGTGTAAATTTACTAGCATTCTGCTTTCCCCTGTATTTCTTTTCAGCCCTTTGTGGTATCAAGTGATATGTCTAGGATAACGTTTCACGCTATCTCCCTCGGAAGGCACCTACAGATACTCAATCGTAAACCTTTTGATTTATATAGTAATCTATACTTCACACATCCATATCAAAATATTATCAGTGCTCACGAAATAGACGCGATACACTGAAATAAAGGAAAGCTATTATCATCCGTGACGTACTACACAGATTATGTTCATGCAACCTATTAATGCTGGACACTTCGTTGCTATGGTTACATACAATGACGTAATGACAGTGATGAATCTGAAAGTTACTAAGCTTTATGTAGGCCGCGCCATAGCTCAAGCGGTTAGTCGCTGGCTTCCCAACGCGGCGGCCCGGGTTCGAACCTTGGTCTTGTCAAGTGGGATTTGTGGTGGACAAAGTGGGGATGGGGCAGGTTTTCTCCGAATACTTCGGTTTCCCCTGCCAATCTTCATTCCACCAATTGATCCACAATCACCCACCTATCATTTGGGGCTGGTACAATAGGCCAGAAGTGGCCGCAGTACAAGGGACTTAGTCCTACCCCACTAGCAATAAAAAAATTGTTGTCGTTAAATTCTATACTTATACATATTTCAATCTTTACAAATTACCTTCAGGTGGCTCTACATAAATAAATAATTATGGAGTCACTGAACTGCAAGTGAAAAATAAAATTAATTTTTATAGAATGGATCCATTTTTTACGTCGACGTATACGTTACAGTTCAATATTAAAACATTAAAAATACTTTAAAATGTAAACTCTTCTTTTTATTTATTCGTAGTTGTATATAGTAGTTAGGCCTATATGAAGTAGTGGGTCTGGAACGGGGATCACTCAGCCTCGTGAGGATGATTGAGGAGCTACTTGAATGGAAAAGTAGCGGCTCCGGTCTAGAAAACCGATATTAACGGCCGTGGCGATTCGTTGCGCTGACTACGCGACACCCTCTATCCGCAAAAGTTGACACTAACTTCGCCGACAAGCGGCTGTCGCTCGGTCGGTATGGTTCGCTTGCTGACTAAAGACCACGGAGAGAGAGAGAGTTATATGCATATAATGGGGTTAGTGTTACCTGTTGTTTGATGGACATGTGAATGTTTTTTTGTATTTTTTAATCAGACATCTTTTCTTGTTTTGAGGGGTCGATGTGGCCATGTTACCGGGGAGCAGACTGCAGTCACCTGCTCACACTGGTTCCTCACTCGCGGACTTTTATAACCTGAAGATGGAGACGATACGTTCCTCCGAAATGTCGGTTTACACAATATCTACACAGCCCCACATCCCAGAAGAAGGCATTCTTCAGTGGTTTAACTAATCTGCAGAGAGAGGCAGATCGTATTGTGAACGAGGTCTGAATGGTCTATGAGTGGAATTAACGCGGGAACCCCGCCACGCTTGTTTAAAGAGGATGCACTGCGGAGGGAACGGCCGGCTTGCAGAGAAGCACCGGCCTGCAGATCGATACGGGGTTCGACGAACTCTCCCAGCAGCGACTCCTCGGTGCAGATCCGCCTGTCCTTCTCATTCCGCAGAGAACGGAATGGAGCCGCCGAGCCGTTCGCAGTTCTGCATGATTCCGTTCTTGCAGTCAGTCCACTACCAATGTACAGCATTATCAGAAGGATGTTTCCTGGGAGAGAGAGCTGTAGGAGGCTAAGGCGGGATAAGCCTTGGATAGGGGAGATTAAGGAATGAATGCAGAATTTGGTGTGCAGTCTTCCTGGATAACACAGTTCGAGCCCTGTCTAGACAATTGTTTCGTTACGTCTTGATGTTGAAGCCGCGAGGAGCAGCGGCTGACAACGTTCATCATCTTCAGGCCTCTTTGTGTGCTTCCTGTAGCCAAACCGAGCGGGCTGGCTCAAACGGTAATGCTCCAGACTTGTATTCGGGAGGTGCCCCGTTCGAGTCTCTATATCGGCTGTCCTGTGTGAGCTTTTCTGTGGTTTCCTCCATTTCTAACATATAAAATCTGGGACAGAACTTCGATTAAGCCACATTCGCTTCCTTCCGAATCCTTTCAGTTCATCATTCATCTCATCCTACTATCCAACGTTATATATTCCCGATATTGTGTCAAAATGTAACTCCCCCCTAAAAAACAAAAGAAGTCCTGAACATAGCGTATAGTGTGAAATGGTAGGAGAGAATGATTAGTAAAAAGTAAACAAAAACAAACAAACAAAAAACCGCAAATTTGTCGCCGTGTTTAACTAATTAAGCACTACGCCATGAAGACGTATGCGGGAGTGGATGTATAGACCCAAAATTTCATGACCTCGGCACTAGTTGGAGGTGAGTGGTCAGCTTTACGCCCCTGCCGCTTTACCCCCGGGGAAAGAGCCGCCGGTACGCATTGGATAGGAGGCTGCGTGGCCCCCAGAGCCGGTCTGGACGACATGGAGAAATCAAAATTCTTGCCTCCAGCGGGACTTGAACTCCGAACCCTTGGTCATCCAGCCCATAGCCAGTCTCTATACCGACCACACTCTCACTGCTCCTAGGATGACCAGTGAAACTGTAAATTTTAAAGAAGTCGTTGAAAAGGCTAATTAGAGGTACTCACCTGGCACTTTATTGGAGGGACTAAGGTAAACTACTTACTTACTTACTGAGTCAGGGAGCTGAGCCCTTCTTGTGGAGCCGCCAATTCTGCAGCTACTCAGAAATTTCCCAGCATTTTATGGAACTCGAAGGTTCATTAGCGTGTTCACAGGAGCCCTCCACTAGTCCCTATCCTGAGCCAGATCAATCCAGTCCATACCACCCCATTCTATCTCTCTAAGATCCATTTTAATACTGTCCATCCACCTACGCCTTGATCTGCCCGGTGGTCTCTTTCCTTCTGGCTTTCCCACCAATATCCTATGTACATTCCTCTTCTCCCCCCCTTCGTGCTACATGCCCTGCCCATTTCATCCTCCTTGACTTGATCATTCTAATTATACTTGGTGAAGAGTACAAGTTATGAAGTTCCTCATTATGCAGTTTTCTCCAACCTCCTGTCACTTCATCTCTCTTCGGTCCAAATATTCTCCTCAACACCCTGTTCTCAAACACCCTCAGTCTATGTTCCTCCCTTAATGTCAGAGACCAAGTTTCACACCCATACAGAACCACCGGAAATATTATAGTTTTGTATATTCTCATTTTTATGTTTTTGGACAGCAGAAGAGAGGACAAAAGGTTCTGGACTGAATGGTAGCAGGCATTACCCGAGTTCAGTCTCCTCTTAATTTCCTCCTGAATCACATTTTGATTTGTTATCGTTGTTCCCAAATATCTGAAGTGTGCTACATTTTCAAAACATCTGTTTCCTATCTTTATATCATGATTTTGACCTGCATTTTGTGACCAGACAGGAACATATACTATGTTTTCTCTGTGTTTACTTCTAGACCAACCCCCTTGCTTGCGCCAATTAAAGTTTGTGTGTTTTTCTTTATGGTATCTACATTATCACCCAGTAGATTCACATCATCGGTGTAGACCAACAGCTGATGTGTCCCGTTTAATTTCAGTCCCACCTGGTTTCCCTGGACCTTCCTAGTGGCATGTTCTAAAGCTAAGTTGAAAAGGAGTGGAGATAAAGCATCTCCTTGTTTTAGACCATTCTGGATAGGAAATTTATCAGACCAATATTTACCTATAGGAACTTTACTATACGTTTCGTTTACACACATTTTAATCAACCCAACTAGTGTCATGGGTATCCAAAACTGTAAGATCTTATTCCGAATATCCGATACCAAGATTCGAAACAAGCAACCTCGAATACAAACGAAGAGCATTACCGATATTGTCAACTCGTTCAGTTTCAGGACGCTTTTGTGTCCAACGCATACCGACTCTGTGTTCTAGTGGTCACAGGTCCTGGTTACAGATCCGGAGGTCCCGGGTTCGATCCCCCGCGCTACGAGATTTTCTGAAAATTAGTGGGTCTGGAACGGGGTTCACCCAGCCTCATGAGGATAATTGAAGAGCTATTTCAAGGAAATAGTGGCTCTCGTCTATGAAACAAAGATTAACGGCCGTGGGATTCATTGCGCTGACCACGCGACATTCTGTATCTGCTAAAGTTGACAGTAACTTCGCCGACAAGCGGCGGTCGCTCGGTGTGTATAGTTCGCTTGCGGACTCGAGCCACGGAGTTTGTTTTATTGTATTATTATTGTATTGTTCCTGTTCTTATGGGAAACTTCACATCTGGGTAATTGTCTCGGTTCATGTCCTTAAGTGACTGGTTGTCATTACACTGGGGTCTCTCTCATTGCTTTTTATTTTGACGTGATAGTACTCAGGATCGAACCCATGACACCCTGAATACTATATCAGTAAGATGATCACTGTACCACTAAGGATATTGATGATAATGGCGACGAAGTTAATGATTTTGACGTTGAAGCAAATGTTATTATACCCTCGCGTCTCAGGATGGTGTGAAATCTCTCGGACTTCACCTGTTGAAGCTGATGAAGTGTTTCCATAATTCCAAGGAGAGAGTCGTATGTAAGCGTCCGCCTTCTGGGAAAGCTGAGGCAGTGACGGATTCCTGTACCAATTGCGATACAGTTCGCCAAAAAGTTGAATCTGTTGGTTTTAGTAGTATATATACATTATGCAGTCACCCACAGATCAACATCAATCACAAACCAACAAGGTCCAGGACACGACCACCACACCGAAATTTAAAGCAGCAAAAATAAAACGCTGATTTCAGTCTTTATTTCAATTTTCATCGTAATACTAATTTAGAATCTATGCCGATGATGTGAATCTACTGGGTGATAATATAGATACCATAAAGAAAAAACACAAACTTTAATTGACTCTGGTAAAGAGGTTGGTCTAGAAGTAAACAC